TTAAAATTAAACATTTAAAAATAACATTTATATTCAAAAAAAAAAAAAAAAAAAAAAAAAAAACCTAGAAGAATCTTAATTATTTAATTAATATTCATCTTCTTCTTCCTCAACAATACTTCGATAATTATTAAAATATTTTCCATTATTTATATTTTTTTTAGTTTTAATTATATTAATTTTGGCATTTTTTTAAATCTATTTTAATGTTTATTTAAACTCTGGATCATTAATTAATTTATTTTCCATATATTTTTTCAATATGGAAAGTTATTTCGAAAATATTTTCCTTTTCCCTAAAGCTTTCATTCCAAAAGAATTAATCAATTCTTCATCATTTAATAAAAAAATGCTCTATCCACACATTTAATTCTATTTGAATTTCTCCACATATTCTTCTAAACCAATTTTCGTTAACCAAATGCAAACATGTTCCGTTTTCCAATCTTTTACTACACATTTTTTAATAAAATCCATATATATATTTGTATACACAATCGAGGATATTAATTATATTATGAGTAGCTTTCCATTTATTCAATCAATGAATAATCTAAATTTTTATTATCATCATATGAATTCATGCTTTAGTTGGTATTTATCCCATTCTATATGCTCATTCCTATAGTCCCAAAATATTGATTCGATTCTAATATCTCTGTTTATATATTTATTGATTTCGAACCATCTTATACACTTTCTAAATTACTTTGACCCCCCTAATAATGTATATATATATATATATATATAAATAATATTTTCATTTATTTTGTTTTGTACTTCTTCATATTCAGTTCTGCTATTTTATTAATTAATGCTTTAATTAAATTTATTTTAATCATTTTGAGATTCTAAATAAAAATTTCCTTCATCTTCTATTTTTGTATTTGTTTGAAAATGATGATCTTATCTATCTGATTTCTAACTTGGGCTTTTTTTGTCTAATTTCGGAGTTTATGTAGGTATTCTTACATCTTCACTTTTTCTTTTTAAATCTTCTGATTTATCTTTTTTTTTTTATTAATTAAAAAATTAAACCAAATTTAATATATTCCAAGAATTAAACTTTTTTTTTTTTTTTTTCTTACTATTATTTTCTGAGTCATTTTCAGAGTCTTTTTTTTATTTTTTTGGTTCTAGTAATCTTCCATGGTCCCAAAATTATTCTTTTTCCTAACCATAAGAGTCTATATATTTGCCATTACCATATTTTTTTATTTTTATAATAAGTTCCTTTTTATATATATATATATACATTATATTTTATTTTTTTATTTATATAAAAATTATCTAAGTATATAAAATTACCTATATATTTAGTATTATTATTATACCACATGGTTCCTTCTCCATGTCTCATGTCATTTAACCAATTTCCCGTATATCTTTCATTATTAGAAAAAAAATATTAGCCATATCCAAATCTTTATCCTTATTACCTTTTTTTTTTCTTTTTTTTTTTCTAAGATTATAATAAAAAAACCATATTCCAATAAAAAGTTCTCCGTTTTTAAAATATTATTTTCCTTAACCATGCTTTTTGTCATTAAGCCATCCTCCTTCATATCTGTCTCCATTTTAATACCATAATTTTCCCTTTCCATGTTTTTATCCTTAGTTATTTAATTCACCTTTTATTAAATAAAAAATAAATAAATTATTATTATTTTTTATTTAAAATAATAAATAACATATTAATTATTTATTGTGTTATTAATTTTATTAAAAAATATAAAGAAAAATTTAAACTTATATGTAAAATTATATTCTAATATTTACCTATATATTTATCCCCTGTCTCATATATTAACTATTGTGAATTATTTAATTTATTTTCATCTTATTCTATTTCAATTTTTAGAAATTTTTTTAAAAAATCCATTTTTATTTTTTTTTAATAAATAAATATATAATGTATATATATATAATTAAAATATAGGAAATTTAAAAAATTTATGAATTTCATATTTGATTTATAACTTTTTTTTATATTAAAATATTTGAGAGAATTATATTTTAATTTTTATGTATTTTTTTTTATTATAATTTATTTAAATTATTTTTATAATTTTTTTCTATTTAAATAAATTATTATTATTTTCTTTTTCAAATATAATTTAATCCTTTAATTACATATAAATATAATAAAATCATTTTTTTTATAAATATATAAACTATACATAATAAATAATTAATTTTTATTATTTTATGAAATATATTCTATTATATTATTAGTTTTATAAAAATAATTTTTAAAATTAATTATATGATATGAAATATCAATTAAATAAATTATTTTTTATATAATAAATATAAAATTTAATAGATAATATATATATTTATTTATATATTTATTTTTATTAATTTTTAATTTATTTTAAAATATTAAAAATTAAAATATCATAATAAAATTATTTATAAAAAAAAAAAATATTATAAAATTTTAATCTAATAAAATCTTTGAAATTTTCCAATGATACATAATTTTATAGAACTGTTTAATTAATTTTATTTATATTAATAAAATGAATTTCTAAACATTTAAAGCATTAATATCTTAAATTAGTAATGTTTTATTTTAATTAATAAAAATATTTCTTATATTTGGTCACTCTAAAAATTTAAAATTAAATATAAAAAAGTCAAAAGCTCATATTAATTATATAATTCATGAATTATTTATAAAATATATAAAAAATGAATAACAGTAATATAATATATTTACAAATTTTATTATGTTATATAGATAAATCATTTCAAAGTTATTAAAATTCTAATAAAATAAAAAATTAGGTTAATAAATTGCTGTATTTTTATATAAAATAAAAAAAAAAAATGAAAAGAAAATAAAATAAAATAAATATAATGAATTAATCTTCTATTATATAATATAATAATTAAAAAATAATATATAATATATTAAAAAAAATATTATAATTAAATATAAAATAAGATATTTTATTTATTTATTATTATATATATATATATATATATATTTATATTTATAAATAAATAAATAAATATATATTTTTATTTTAAATTTTAATTTTAATTTTTGTTATAATTTTTTATATAATATAAATTTATGTTTTACTAAATTATTATAATTTTTAAAAAATATATATTAATACTAAAAATATTTCATAAATAAAATAATATTAAATATTAATAAAATAAATAAATATTTTAACAAAATATATTTATTTTAATAGTTTTTTATATTTATATAAATCATTTAAATTTAGTAACTTTTTCTTTTTCTTTTTCTTATTTAATTTTTTCTTTTATTTATTACCAATTAATTTCTACCTTTAATAAAAGAAACATTTATAATTTTATTTTTATATTAATTTATAAAAATAATATTTTATTATTACTTTATCTTAATATTATTAAAATTTTTTTAATGTTTCTTCTTTTTTAACTTATTCTAAATATTTTTTTCTATACCCAATAACCATATCTACATATACATTATTTTAAACAGCTAATTCTAAAGCTCTTTCCCATCTATAAAAATAAATTATTTTATTTTAAAAATAAAAAAATACTTATAAAGTTTAATATTTAATTTTATTGCTCTATAAAATAATTTATTTTTTAATAAAGATTATTCTGCTTCAGCTTTTTTTTTTTTATAATTTAAAAATAAATACATATTAAATAAAAAAATGTTTTATTTACTATTTTTATGAAAATAGACAGATAATGCAGCTTATTTTGAAATTTCAGAAGGTAATTCATTAATATATTCAATATATTTAACTTTGTCAGCCGCCTCTATAGATGCAAGTGCGATTTCAGCTGTATTCAATTCTCTAGAATGTAAAGATACAGCTGCTAAGCAAGCCCAAAGAGATTATTCTTTAACAAACCTACATAATTTAATAGCTTTTTCCCACTTATTTTTTTCACAAAAATCAAACAAAATACTTGGATAAGGGGATACATTTAAAGTAATTAAACCTCCATCTTTTCTCCTCAAAGTAACTTAAGATCCACTAAAATTAATCATTTAGCTTATTCGGCCTATATCAGAAGATTCCTTAGTGTATTTACAGAGGCTCATTAAATCTTTATCTACATAAATTGCGTTAGGATAATACCAAGTTTATAAACGACCGTCTGCTATACAAGATAAAATGTCGTGTTTATCATTCCACAAAAAACTATCGGTCATAGCAGCTAGTTTTGTTACATCTCTCTAGGTTTTTTTATGAAATATATATATATTAGTTTTTTTGTATTTTTTTTATTATGGGTTACTTTATGAACCGGTGATAAATAAAAATCATGATTAATATCCATGAAAGCAATCTTTCTATCTGAAGCTTAATCAGTATTATTTAAATGAATTTCTAAAACTTCCAAAGAATGATCTAACATAAAATTCATTTGGTTTCCACTTAAAATATCATAGAATCTTATTATTTTAGGATTTGCACCGTCTACAATAGCAAAAACATCTTAACTTAAAGATATTTTCGAAGAATTTAATAATTCGAATTTAATTCCAGGGATTTTAGGGTTTGATATTTTTCTACCTTCATAACTGTAAATTACAATACCTTATATTGCTTATACTAGGCAAAAATAACGAGGCGATTAAATTATTAAACTTACAGCTTCTTTTATATCAAAAATTTAAGGAGTATTCCAATTCTAAAAAAATGATATATATATATATATATATATATATATATATATATTTATATATTTATATAATTATATATATGTATATGCATTTTATATTTTATTTATATAAATTTACTGTAAATGCATAAATATAACATTAAGAATGTGTAGTAACAATTAAATTTCCATAAGCCATACTCATATTAATAACTCTTTCTTTAAAATCTAACTCTTCGTGCATTTCATTTATTAAATCATTTACTGTTATTTTATTATCTTCTATTAAATTTACTTCAAAATTTTAATAAACTAAACTTCTTTCTACTACTTATCCAAATATTACATGTCCAGACCCCTTAAAATTATGTTTATTTAAAAAAAATAAAATTATATATATACATATATATATATATATATATATATATATATATATATATAAATTGATTACGCAACTTCCAGCACATATAGTACTGTCTGCTGACCATCTAATTTACATAACAGATCCTACATCAACTTTATCAAAAGAATAAGTCCATCTTAAAAATTAAAAATAAAATAAAAATATAATATATTTATAAAAATAAATAAATATATATATATATATATATATATATATATATATATTTATATTTTTATATTTATAAGTTACCCTGTTTTATCACATAATTTAAGCATTCCATAAGCTCCTACTGCGAAGAATTCTCCATTAGGTGCCCATGCAATAGAAGTAATAACATAGTCATAAGGTGCTGAGCTGTATAGGCATCTTCCATAACTATCCCATATTTTATATTTACAATCTTCTCCAGCACTCACTATTTAGTTATTACAAGGGTTCCAGTCAGTTTTAATGACTACACCATCATGGGCTTTCCATTAAACTGTTTTTTAACCAGCTTGTAGAGGTTTTACGAAAATATTTTTTTCCGAAGAATATAGTATTGTATTATTATCGGGATTCCAACATAAACTATATATAGGCTTATCAAATTAGACTAAATTACTTCTAATATTACCAGTTTTACTCCATGTTTTTATTGAACCGTCTTCACCTCCTGTAGCTAAATAGCTACCATCATGACTCCATTTTAATGTTATTAGCTGTATATATTTATTTTTAATTTTATTTTATTTTTTTGTTACAGCTGCATTTTTATGAGCATCTTTTATATGTTAATCGATTTTTCCAGTACGGGTTATCAACATGAAACTTCCGTCAGAAAAACCTAATGCTAAAATTTCATTTACACCTTTATTTGCTGCTGGCATCCAATCAAGGCATGTTGGATAATTTTCTAATGTTAAAAATTTTTCATTCTTTTTTTTTTTTTTAATTTTTTTTTTTTTTTTTAAATTTTATGATTTTATTTTACTTAAAGTGTATTACAATCCCATTTATATATTATGTTATCATCAGCAATACTATATTTTTTAAATTATAATTAAATAAATTTATTTTATTTATTAAAAATAATGATATGGATTTATTTTTTACCTGTAAACTTCGTTTTAAACAGTCCAAGATAAATCAGTTGATATTTCTTCGTGCTTCAGAATATCGTTTTTTTTAACTTTAAATCTCATTTATTTTGGTTTTATGATTTTTTTATTTATTTGATTTTTATTTTATTTATTTTTTAAATTTTTTTTTTATTTTTTCTTTATTTTATTTTTAAATATAATTATTTAATTTTTTAAAATAGTATTTTTATTAAATAAATCAAAATAGTATTTAAAAAAAATAAATAGTTTCTTTTTTTAAAAAAATAAATAAATATTTTTTTTTCAAAGTAGTATATATATAAAATATTTTATGTTGAAATTTAATATTTTACAATTAAAAATAAATACATTGTATATATATTTTGAATTTATTTTTTAAAATATAATATAAGTTGGTTAGAATTTTTTATTTTAAGTTCATTAACATTTTGTTATTTATGTATTTATAATTATAAATAAATTTTAAAATATTTATTTTATTATTTAAATATTAATATTTTAAATAAAAATTTATTTACATTTTTTATGATTGTATATAATTATTATAAACTGATAAAATTTATATTTTTATTTTGTTTAAATTTTATTAGTTTAATAATTTATATTTTAAGTTTCTTTATTATTTTTGAATTTTTTTTTTGTTTAATTTTTTTTGTTAATCCTTTAAAAAATTGCTAATATGAATATTTTTCAAATTTTATTAATATAAAAATTTACAATTAGTTAAATAGCAAAATAAAAAATAGCAAATAAAATTTTTCTTAAACATTAAAAATAATAAATTTCCTAGTTTTTTTTTAAAAAAAAAATAAATAAATAAACATAAATAAATTAAATTATTTTTATACTATAAAGAAAATTTGAATTATTGTATTATTATTATTATTATTATTATTTTTTTAAAAAAGGTTAATAATAAAGAAAAAATAAAAATTAAAAAATTTAAAATAAAATATAATAAAAAAAAAAAAATGCAAGTTTAAATGAGATAAAGCCATCATAATATAAAAAACAATCCTCTAATAAATTCTTATAACCGAAATTAAAATAATATAAACTATAACGAATAAGGTAAAAAAATATAAAAACATAAGAAAAACTATATTTTTTATCAAAATAAATTAAAATAAAAAAGGAGCATAAATTAGTAGTAATTAATTTTAAAATAAAAATTCACATCCTTTAGATAGTTAATCATTAGACTAATTTTCTCCCAAAACATTTTTGTAAAATAATCTTACATCTAAAAAGCAAACATCTTATTTATAACCTTAACAGTAACAAAAAAAAAAAACAAAAATATATAAAACTCTCAAGAAAATATAATAAAAAAATAAATTTTTTAGAGTAAAACAGTAGACAAATCAATAAAATCTCCAAAATTATTAATATGGTATTATTAATTAAAGCAATAGTACATCAAATCTAAGTACTAATAGAGACTTATAAATAAATAAATAATAATAGCCTTTAAAAAATAACTATTTTTAATCAAGTCTAAGTAATAGAAATAATGAAAATTTGAATTTCTAATAAAAGTAATAATAATCGAATATTAATAATAATGATATAATATAAAATTAACATTATTATTAATAATAAAATAACTACTAAAATCAATTTAATTAAACTCATAATAATTAAGGAATATAATCATTAAATGATATTTAAAGAAATAAAGAAAATTCTTATAATCAGCAGTTAAAAAACGGACAAACTTTTTAAAAATAAGAAATTTTTTAATAAAATAATAAATGTACTTAACCAAGATTTGTATAAACTTCTTATTCAACTTAAAACTTAAATATTTAATAAAAAAATTAGTAAAATAATTTATTTTGTATATATAATTTTTAATATAAAAGTATTTATATGTATATGTATATATATGTATATTTATTTATATGATTAAAATAAAATGATTAAAATGATAAATATATATATGGATATATATATATATAAATATATATATTTATATATATATATATTTATATATATATTAACATATATATTAATTTATATTATTTATATATATTTTTTTATTTTTATTTTTAATTTTAAATTTATAAAAAAAAATAATAAAAAGAAATAAAATAATGAGACCATTTTCAAGAGACGAAAATTTAAATAATAATGAAGTAAATAATATTATTTTTATTAAAAATTATAAATTAATTAAATAGCTTATTTTTATATATTTATCTCTTAAATCTATTTTTATTTAAAAAAAACAAAACTATAATTTTAAATATATATATATATATATATATATATATANTTAAATAATAAANAAGTTTTAAATTAAAATAAAATAAATAAAATAATAAAATAAAGACCTCGAAAANAAAAAAAAAAATGGAAAATGAATGAATAAATTAATGATGAAAATAACAATATTATAATAAATAAATTTTAATAAAAACCAATTTAAAATTAAAGTCCTTAGCCTTAAAACTACTCATATTTATAGCAAAAATAATTATAAAAAGGTAATATAGATAATTTTAACACAAATCAGAGTAATTTAAATAAATAGATATTCTAATAAAGTAATAATAATAATAATAATATGTATTAAAGTGGATTTATTAATACAAATTAATAACAATTTAATCATAATTATATGAAGAAAAGCGAAATTTTAGAAACTAAATAGTCAAATTATTTGAATATAAATAAGCCCACTTAATATTCTTAAATAATTAATAGAGGGGAATAATAGACATAATATAATTCCTAATAATAAAAATAAATTGAAGAAAAGAAACTTTTTTTAATAAGAAATAGATAAATAATAATGAAAATAGGATTCCTTGTGAAAACGAGAAAGAAAGAGTTTTGAGGAGTAAAAAAGATAGTATTTAAATGGAAAATTAAAGCTAAATTTAAGATAAAAAAGAAATGGTAAGGGGATATTCAGAAACTTCTGCAAATTAAATTAAAAAACTTAATTTTGAAAATTATAATTATGAATAAAGTCCTAAATAAAATGTAATTTTTTTTATATTTTTTTTATAGTTAAATAAAAGTTTTATTATTTACTTTTTTTTTAATTAAAATAAAAAAAAAAAAAAAAAAAAAAAATATTTTTTATTTATTTAGGAAAAAAATATTTTCTAAAATAAATAACTTCTATAAACAAACTAATCACCCTCATAATAGAATACTTTAGTTGAATAATAAAACAAATTATAATAATAGTTATAGCTTTCATAATAGAAATATTAACTATAAAATTAGTAAGCATAAAGTGCTTTATAGAATCAAAAAAATCAATAATAATAATAATAGTAATAGTAATAGTAAAAGTAATAATAATATTCAATGAATTAATAATAAACTTAATAATAAAGATAATAAATAATAGGAACAAGTTAATCTTAATATATAGGAACGCGTTAAAGCTCATTTTTATAAAAAAAAACTAAAATTAACCCAATACAACCATTAATAATAAATAAGCTTAGTCAAGTACATTTGAAAACGAAAATAAATAAAAAATACTTAAAAAATAGAAAATAAAAATTTAAAAGATGAATATTAAGAATATAAAAAACTTTAAGAAAAACTAAATTATTTAGAAAATAAAATTATGAGCATAAAAACAAATATTGACTAAACATATTAGAAGGAAAATGTTAAAAATAAAAATACAAATAATTAAAATAATGTAGAAAACGATAAATATACGAATTTAAAACAATCAAAAATTATACAATAATAAAGCAATAACTTAAATTAAGGCTAATAAAAGCAAATTTAAAAATAATAATATTAGCAATTATAGTAATAACAACAGATATAATAAAAATAATTATAATAATAATAATAATTATAATAATAATAATAAATAATAATAATAATAATAATAATAATAATAGTAATAGTATTAATAATAGTAATACAAATATTTAAAATAATCATAAACAAATTTACAAAATAATCAAAAATTATCTGAATAAAGTTAAAATAGTTAATATTCTTCTCAAATCTAAATTGATCAAAGTACTTATTCAACTTAATTTTAGCTTTAAAAATAATAGGATTCATTCAATAAATCAAAAGAAAATTAATAAGTATATGATTAAAATTAATAATAATTGACTCCTTATTAAAATCCACCTTCTAAATTAAAAAATTCATTAAATAATTTTTATAACAATACAAATTAAAAAAATATATTTAATAACTAAAATTATTTAAATAATGTAGGTTATAATTAAAATCTAAATCAATAAAATAATAATAATAATAATAATAGCAATTCTAACACAAATAATATTAATAATTTAAATGATAATAACAATAATCCTCTTAATTCTTTTGTTACTTAAGTTAGTAAAGGTTCAGGAATTCCCTTATCTCCTAAAACAGCCTCTAATATTACAAAAGTGCATAAATTAGAAGAAAAAATAAATCAAAACACTCATATTGAACTACATCCTAATTAAGGAATTCCCAAAAGTTATCTAACTTTAAGTAATTATAAAGGAAATATAAATAATGATAACGAAGTGAATAAAAAGAAATAAAATTAATAAAACATTTATTATATTCAATAAAAAAATAATAAATAATAACTTTATTATATTTCCTCTTTAATTAAAGCCTATTCTGATTCATAAGACGATAATACTTCTTTTAATTAATTAGCTAGAGACCATTTAATTTAAACTATGCAAGCTATTAATTTTTCAAAAATGCTAAAAACTACACCATAAAAAATTATTGATGATAAGAAAATCTATTTATAAACAAGAAGAGATAGTATAAATAAACTAAAATAAATTATGTATATATGAAATAAAAAAAAATAGATAAAAAACATTAGTATTTGATTTAGATGAAACACTTATTCATTGTAATGAAAATGTATAAATTCCTTCTGATGTAGTTTTACCAATCAAATTTCCAACAGGAGAAATAATTGAAGTTAATATAAAAAAAATATATAAATATATAAATATATATATATATATATAAATTATTATATATATATATATATATATATATATATATATTTATTTTAAATAATAAAATTTAAAGGCTGGTATAAATATTAGACCTTATTGCTATGAATGTTTATAAGAATTGAGTAAATATTATGAAATTGTTGTTTTTACAGCAAGTCATAGTTGTTATGCTAATGTAGTATTAGATTATTTGGATCCAAAAGGTTAATATATTTCTTATAGACTTTATAGGGAAAACTGTGTTACGACAGAAGAAGGTGTATATATTAAAGATTTAAGAGTATTATAAAATAGAAATATGAGTGATATTGTGTTAGTAGATAATGCAGCTTACTCTTTTGGTTTTTAGATAAATAATGGAATTCCTGTTATTCCATTTTATGATAATAAAAATGATAATGAATTAAAAAATTTAATTAACTTTATGAAATCGATACATTAAGTTAAAGATTTTAGAGATACTTTAAAAAAAGTTCTTAAAATAAATTAGTTTTCAGAATTTTAGGATCCAGAAATGTTACTTAGTACATTGTTTTAAGAATTAATTTAATGATTAAAAATATATTTATAAATATATTATATATATATATATATATATATATATATATATATAAATATTACTTTTAAAATATTTTTTTCTAATTTTTGTAATATTTTTGAATTATACACAAATTATTATTAATAAAATAAAAAAATATAGATTTCTTCTTTTTTTAAAAAAAAAATTTCTTATATAAAATATCTAAGTTATTTTTTAATATAAATATTTTTATGTATTTATTTATTTTATTTCTATTTTTCTTATTTTTTTTAATTCCAATTTTTATTATAAAAACTTTTATAATTTTTCTATTTTTTTATTGGATTTCTTATAATAATTTTTTCATTTAATTTATTAAATATTTTATTTTATATCTTCATTTGTTTTTTTTTTATTATTATTCAAATACACAATTTTTTTTTTTACCAAAATTTATAATTCGAATCTTTTTTTTTTTTTCGAGCATTTTTCAAATAAATAAAAAACAAAAATAATTTAAGTATTATTTTTATAAAAAATATAATTTTCATAATAATTCATTGTTTCTTAATTTTCATTTTTTTAAAAAATTTTAAAAATTATATTAAATGTTTATACATATTTATTTATCTTTTATATTAATATTCATTATTTTAAAATTAATTTATTTATTCTTTTTTATTTATTAAGGTATTAATTTAATTAAAAATTTTTTAATAATCTATTATATATTATTAACCCAAAATTTATTTTTATTAGGTTTATTATTATTCTTTTATATTAAATAATTTAATCCATAACTTTTACTAAAAATATTATTTAACCTATCCATTAATTAATTGATTATTTTCATTTTAAAGTTTTACTTTAAAACATATCATTAAATGAATATTTATATTTATTTTAATACATATCAATTTTATTTCCTATATAGTTTATTTATGATGTATATATAACTTTTATAATTTAAAAATCTATTATTTATTTTTTTGTATGGCTTTTTATTTGTATAATTTTGAGGGCCTTAATTAGCCTTTTGTTATTTCAGAAATATTTAGTTCTTACAATTAATTTTAATTATAGATTTTATATAATTACTTTGCTTATTTAATCAATTTATTTTTTAACTAAAAAATATCTTCATTTTTATATATTTAGGCTATTTATAAAATATCTTTTTCTTTAAATATAGAATTATTTAATACTTTTATTTTTAAAAATATTAAATTTATAATTTATTACTTTGTATTTTTTTTGCTTATTTATTAAAATTTGTATCAAAATAATTAAAAATAATTATAAAATAAAAGTTTCTTATATTATATACAAATGAATCTTTTACTTTATTTATAAAAAAATATATATTTTATTAAAATGTATAATTTAATATATTTTTTTATTTTTTTATTTCCTTTAACAAAAAATAAAGTTTTTCGAATTCTTTAAAATATATATATATAAATGTTAATTAAAATAAATATCATATATAAAATAATTAAAAAAATATTTTTGTTGTTCTTGTTTTTTTTTTAGATTTATTAATTAAAATTAGAAGCTAATATTCAAAATAACAAATTAATATTTTAATTATAATTTATATTTTATTCTTTTATACTTTCATTTAAATTTATTATATTCATATATATTTAAATTATCTTAAATATTAATTTTTGAATATAATCACTTAAAATATTTTTTATATTTATTTAACTCATTTCGTTATATTTTTTGTATGAACAGACAATTTTTATAATTTTTTTTTTAATAATTTTAATAAAAATAAAAATATCGAATTTAGAAAGAAAACTAAGAAAAAAAAACATAAAAAATAAATAATAAATAATTTAAAATAATTAAATTATTTAAAAATTATAATTAAAAATAAAAAAAAAAACTATATTAAAAAAAAAAAAAATCATAAAAAAATATTTTTTTTGCATTTATAGTGGCATATAAATGGATAAAATAAAAAACATTGCTTAAGACATAAAGAAAAAAGCATTAAATTTGTATTTAAATAATAATAATATTAATATATATATATATATATATATATATATATATATATATATATATTTTTATATTATATATTATATATATATATATATATATATATATATATATATATAAATGTAACTAATAATAAATAAAAAAGGAATAGAACTCCTTTATAAGTAGTACTCCATGATGCAACATCTAATGAAAATTGGTCTACAGACCCTAAAATATTACGATAGATAGCAGATTAATCTTTTAATTAGTAATAATAATAATAAAATAAAAAAAAATATAAACAAAAAAAGTTAAGATTTAGATGTAATTATATAATTTATATGGCATAGATTAAATAATAAAAATAAAAATTGGCGGAAAATATTAAAAGTAATTTTTGTTTTTTTTATATTAAAAATAAAAAATAGACTTTAAATTTAATTGATTTTTTATTAAAAAATGGTGCACCTTCATGTATTTAAATATTTAGAGACTAAATTTACTAAATAAGGACATTATCAGATTTCGAATTAATGGAAAAATAAATAGATAGAGGAGGTAGTATAAGAGAAAAAGCAAGTCAAATAGTAGTTTTATTATCAGATGAAAATAAACTTGAATATGAAAGAGATTAAGCTAAATTAATAAGGTAAAGGGTTTAAGGAAATTTAGGGGCTATAGGATCTCATGGATCTCATAATTAATATAGTAATTAGTAATCAAATTATTAATATAATAAAAGCAAAAATTCTAAGGAAATTAATAAAATTATTGATTTTACTAAAGATGATAGTGAAGAAGATGAAAATAAAAAAATTATAGACGATTAGTTGTAATAAAGAGGAAATTAATCAAAATATGATAATAAAAAGGAAAATTATGATGATTTTTCTTAATTTACGTAAAAAGATGTAAAAAGTTAATTATAATAAAATAATAATAATAATGTTTTTGAAGAATTTTAAAATTAAAAAAATTCTTAATAAAAAAATAAGTCTAATATTAATAATAATAATTGTAATATTTTATATTTACAAATTTTATTTTGATTAAAAAATAAAACAATATAATAGGGGAATAATAAGATTGGGGATGGTCAAATAATAATTAATAGACAAAATAGTAAAATTAGGATAATGATGTTTTTAATTTTTATAATAGTTAAAAATAAAATCAAAAATAATAATAATAATAATAATAATAATAATAATAATAATAATAATAATAATAATAATAATAATATAATAAACTAATAATAACAAGTTGTTTAATAAAATTGCAATTCTAATTAATAGTTTATTTAAAAATAAAATTAAAATATTTAAAACTATTAAAATAATATAAAAAATATTTAAAATTAATAATAAAAATAATAAGAATAATTACCTAATTTACTTGAACTTAATATTGAAGATACTTCTATTAAATAAAATTAACAAAATCAATAAAATTAATATTAATAATTATAATAATAATAATAATAATAATAATAATAATAATAATAATAATAATAATAATAATTATAATAATAATAATAATCATAATCATAATCATAGTCATAATAATAATAATAATTATATAATTCTTTAAATTTAATTGATTGTAATAATTTTAACTAATAACTAAATTAATAATCATAATTATAATAGAGTTAACCTATACAAAACAATTCAAATTAAGTAAATAAAAATAAATTATAAAAATATTAATTTTTTATAGAATTAATAAGATAAATATTAATTTTTAAATATGTTAAGTTAATCTTAATAAGCAATGAATTCTCAATAATATTAATTATATTAATATTAATATTATTAGCAATAATAAGAATATTAAAAACAATAAATAATGAATAGTTATGGAAATAATATTAATATGATGTAAAATTAATAATAATTATATGGATAAATGAATTAATAAAATTAATAATTTTAAATAAATACATAAAAAAATTAATAAGGATTTTTTTGAATTAGAAAAAAATCAAATTTTATAAAAATTTTTATATTTTTTTGTTAAATCTTAAAAAAAAAACATATATATATATATATATATATATATATATATATATATATATCTTTTATTTTTTTAATATACAAAAATATAAATGAATCATATATATAAAATCAATTCCCAATAAAAAATAAAGGAAAAAGCATTTGAAGCTTTTTTCATATAATATGGATCTGAACATTCACATTAATTATTTGCAAGCTAAGAAATAGTTTCTAATATAAGCCCAGTTATAAAAAAAGAAATTTAGAGTATAAAATAATGTGCGTTAGATAATAAATTTATAGGATTAGCAACTAATTAAGTTTGCTTATGTGAAAGATATTTAATTCTATCAAAAGAAACTTTAAATAATTAAAATTGGATATTAATTAAAGATTATCCAATTGATTAATACGAAGTATTTATAAATCCATAAATAGTATAAGTTAATGTAATTATATATATTTACATATATTATAAAAGTAAGATTTGATAAAAAAAGGAAAGTCAAACTTTATAGGTAGAAAAATCACCTTCTTTTTCTTTTTTAGATGCTGAAATAAAAAGATATGATGAAATAAAAATTAAATACATAAATGAAGAATTCGAAGAAAAAGAAAAAGTACTAGTAGGTTTTCAGAGTAGAGCTTATTAACATTTTCATGATCATTTATTTGGAAAAAATATTTTAAATTTAAGAGTTAATAAAGGAAATATTTCAATAAATTAGAATTATACTAAAATATTAAAATAGTTTTCAAAAGTATAAATAAATACAAAATATATATTTATATATATATAAATATAAACAAATTAAAAAACATATAAATTAATTTAAAAATAAAAACTAAATATATATATATATATATATATATATATATATATATTTATAATATATAGGTCTTTGATGATTATTTGTTTGAAATTAATATGCTTAAAAGTTTAATGCCATAACTATTTAATTAAAGGCCTTAAAAAGAATTAAATATTTCAAATGATATTTTATCTTAGTTTCCATTTGAAAAAAAATTTAAAATTAAGCTTTTAAGTTCAATTAGAAAAGATTTTAAACTTTAATAAAAATAAATATAAGAATAAAAATATTAATGAATACATATATATTTTAAATTTATCTTTATAAATATTTATATTTAAAAATCAATCTTTTATTTCATATTATATTATATATATTTAAAAATAATTATATATATATATAATAAAAAAAATTTTATTAAAAAAAAAGATAAATATTTTATTATTATTTTTTTTTTTTTTATAAATTTAAAAAAATAAATATGGAATATTAAATAGACTAAAGTTATATATAAACATAAGAATAAATATCAATAGCATCTTATAAGAAGTTTAAAATATAAAATTTAATAATTTTTTTAATAATTTATAGATTATATATGAATCTATTTGAAAACGGAACAAATCAATTAAAATTAGAAAAATAAGAATTATAATAATATATTTTTGATAATTATAAAGATTTTGTTTCCTTATAAAATGAATATGATTAATTTTATAAATAGTTTGCTGGGATTAAATCATAATTTTCTTAGTTTGAAAATAGCCTTAATTAAGTTTTTTAGGCGGTTAATGATATGGCAAAACATAAAAAATAAAATTCAAGTTCTGATGATTAAATACAAGATAATAAATTAAATTTATTTGAATAATAAAGAAAAATAAAAGAAAATGAGGAAATTAGTGAATAAATAAACGAATTATTAGATAATATTAATATTAGTACTTTTGATAAAAGTTATTCAGAATCTATTGATAATTTAAATATATTAAAATCAATGTCAGAATCTTTAAAATATTCACCATTTTTATCAAAATATGAAATAAAGTAAATAATTTAAAAATTGAAATATATATATATATATATATATATATATATATAAAAAAAATATAAAGAAAAAATGTAGAGTATTATTATCAAATTTTAGTTGAATCAATATATAATGATTTGATAAATGAAAATTATTAATATTAATAAAACTAACTTATACAATTTTTAATAAATTTAAATTAAACAAAAAAATCATGTGAAGGTTTTTTTATTAATAAGAAAAAAAAATTAGAAGTAGATTATTTTAAAAATAAAAATAATAATATATATAATTATATATATATATATATATATATATATATATATATATATATATTGTTTTATTATAGAATTAGTTAACTTAGTTTGTAAAAAAAGTAGGTAAATTAGATAATGAAAGTTGTTAATAAATTACTTAAATTTATTTAGATTATATAAAAGAAACAATTAATGAATATAATGAAATTTATAAAGTATAATAAAATAAATATAAATAATGATATTTTATATAAATATATATATAATAATATAAAAAAAAAAATATATATATAAAATTATTTTAATAATATATATATATATATGTATTTATATATATATATACATATTACTTTTATTATTTAAAATATTTAGTCTAAAAGTAGTGATAAATATACTTGCTTACATAATCTTTGGATTTAAGAAACATGTTAAATATTTTATAGTGTTTGTAGAAATAATATTTTTTGGAATTCTGAATTGGAAGATATATGTATATATATATACTCATTTTATAATTAAAATTTATTATATACAATTATAGTGGAGAATATAAAAAGCATTTTAAATGCCTTAATTATTTCAGAAAGTTAAGGATTGGCAATTATTCATATTATTTAGTAGATGTTTATTCCTGATTTAGGTGAAAAAATAGACTTTATGTTTTATAATTATGGAATACGATTATCTAAAATGTAAAATACAGATACTTGGGAAGTTTTTAAAGTTTTCGCGGTTTTAAATGTAGATTTTTGTGATGAAGAAATAGAAAATTATGCAAACGAACCAATTAAATTTATATCAGAAATAGAATTGCCTGAGAAGTTTTATTTCTATTATTTTTTTTAAAAAAAATATTTTTAATAATAAATAAATAGAATTATTTATTATAAAAATAAACAATTATTTTTTTTAAAGTAAAAAGAAAATTTTGAACAATTATTAAGAAGTTTCGGATGTAAAAGTAGATATAAATGAAGGATATAAATAGTTTTTTAATAAAACTAATTTAAAAGGATAAAAGCATTCTATTTTATTTTGGAACATTATATTTTAAATTATTGATAAATTAATATTGTATGTAGATATGGAAAACTATAAAGTTTTTTCTTATTAATTTATTTAACTTATGGAAAAAAAAATATAAGAGTTTATTATTGAATATTTAAATTCTTTTAAATAAGTAAAAACAAAAAAATTATTTTTTTTGTTTTTGTTTTAAAATAATAAAAAAAAAAAGATAATTTAAAATGCAGTTTCCTTATCAGCAGATTAAATTTTAGCTTCTTGTGCTAATATAAACACATGTTTAAATATGGGAAAACTTTCTGTATAGTATGAAGTTATAAAATTAAGTCCATAAATACATTTATTAGTCACTAATATATGGAAAGAATAAATAAAATAAGTATATGATTGTTGTTATGATATTATCTTTATTTATTTTAAGTCGAAAATACTAGAGCATATTCCTCGAATTTTAGCTGAATATGGAAAATGTTATACATAGTAACCTTCTGTATATATATATATATATATATATATATATATATATATATATATATAATTTTTTTTATATATTTATATTTATATATATAATATTTATTTTTTTAGAAAAATATTGATGTAGTAAAATATCCTAGTCAAATATTTACATTAATAAGTTAATGTTTGGAAAATATTAGAGATAATTTATATATTATTATGAATAAAAATGATATAAATTTCTATATGTTTAAATTAATGCATTCAGTTAATTTTATGTTAGAATATGTTTTATATTGGAATTATCATTAAAAAGGTCAATAATCTGAAGTATTTTTTATGGATTAATTATCTATTAAAAGAATGTATTTAAATTTTAATTAAATGAATACTTTTTTATAATAGAATGCATTAAAGATAGGACATTTTAATTAAAGTAATATAAAATAATTTATCTTTGATATGCATTTTCTAGCAATGCTTTTCAATGCCTATTTATGTAAAGAATTTAATCAAAAACTTAATAACGAGAACATTTTAAATAAGGCAATAAGTTGTTTTTGTAAAGAAAAGAAATTATAAATCACTGATTTTAATTTTAAATATTCAAATGTTAAAAACGAAGTGGAATAATATTTAGTATAATAATATAAAGCAGAATAGCATAATATGATAATGAAAGAAAGAAACTAATTAATTACTTCTTAAGATGGAAGTAGAATGTCAATAAAAGAAAAGATTTTTAATTAATCTTAAATTATATTATGAAAAAAAAAAAAAAAAAATTAAATAAATAAATATTTTTTTTAATATTTTTTTTTTTTCAATCTTAATCTTAATTTCTTTAAGGCTTTTTAGGAGCATCTTCATCTTCGTCTTCGGCTTCTTGTTCTTATTATTCTTCTAATTTCCTTTATTCTTCAATTTCTTCTTTTGATACAGAGAAAATATCCCTTTCGTAATTTGGTTTCGATTCAAAGTCCTTTTTGTTTAGAAAAATAAAAAAAATAATATGTATTTTTTATAAAATAATAATATTACGACATTTTGTCTTGTATTTCTTTCAAAATTACCACGTGTTATACATTGTCTTCTGAATTAATTAAATATTCTTCGGGCATTATTTGGTTAAAGTTTCTATTATTTATTATATTTTTTTAAATTTATTTTATAAATACATATAAGTCATCATCTGTTTCAAAATATTGTATAGCTTAAGAAAATGTAATTTATGGTTCTAATATATGAGATAACCAAAGTGGGTAATGATTAAGTGGTTTTAATTCCTTTTTTTTTATTTAATTCCTTTTTGTTTTTTGTTTTTACTGGATCTTGCTTTTCTTTAAAAATATTAATTATATCATCTGATATTTATGTTTCTACAGAACTTCCGCCTGCTTTTTTCTTTTTTGGTCCTCTTATTATTGCTGATAATGTATTCTAGAATCATTTTTTTTTATTTTCAAATAAAAAAATATATTTATATGATATTCAATATCAAATAATTTACTTTCTAACTTAATGAGTTACATCTTAAAATAGTATTCATTATTTTTTTTTAAAAAAATATTTTTTTTTTTAGGATATATATTAAAATAAATAAGGTATTTTTTTTAGCTTTATAAAATTTAATATAAATATTTATTTAATTAAATCATTTTATTAATAAATGAATTTTTTTTTAATTTAATATATATGATTTAGTTGTTTATAATATAACAACTTTTATTTTAAGAAATTATATTTTTTTTTTAAATAAAAAAAAAAGATTCTATATATAAAAAATGAATTTGATATATACATTTGTCTTTATATTCAAAATTAATTAAAAAAAAGGGCAAATAATAATATAAAATATATTATTTGTAGTTTTCTGGAAATAAAATAAAACAAAAACATATATATATTTACATAATTAATAAGATACTTATATTTATTTATTTTTTTTAAAAAAAAAATAAGAATATTTAGTTAGAAGCAAAGTTATTTTAATCTAATAATCTAAATATATAAAAAAAAAAAGAATTTCTTAAAAAAAATAAAAAATATGTCAACTGCATTATCCCAAATAAAATAAAGTCTCCAAAAAGCTTACCATAAATTTATACAAACAAACTACAATGTATATATGCCGGGTCGTGAACATTTACATAAAGAACGAAAATATATCCATATTGAAATCCAAAAAAAATTTCAAGACATAGAAAGTGAAAGAAAGCAATAACGTTTAGCCTTAATTGAATACAAGAAAAAGACTAAAAAAAGATATATCGAATAATAACTTGCATATATAGATTAATAGAAAAAAATAGGTATTTTAAATCCTAAGAATAGTCAAGAATTAGTCGAAGAATTGAAAAAATAATAAGAAATATCAAATTTAGAAAACTTAAGTTCTTATAAATAATATGTTTAATAGTAAAATTAAGGAGGTAAAGATAATCTATATTTAAGTACAGATTCTTAGACTTTAAATATTGAAAATGAAGAGGAAAAAGAAAATTTAATGAAATAATTATAAAAAATAAACGAGGAATTATAATAAATATAACAAACGAAAAATGAATTAAGTTAAATAGATTAAAAAATAGAAGAATTAGAACCTGATTATGTATTAATTACAGGCATTAAAAAATCCATAGTAATAAATTAACTGACTTATTATGAATATATGTCAAGGACTTTACATGGGTTTGTTATGCATCCTGAAACTCAAAAGGCTATTGAAAAAGTACACTACGATATAGAACAAAATATTCCAGTAAGAAGAGAGTTACTATTTGAAGTTTGTCCAGAACTTTTTGAAGCTGAAATTGACTAATTAGATAAAATAAGCAAAGATAGAATTCTTTCTAGAAGACCAAGATTAGATACAGTAATATATATTTTTAAATATTTTAATTTATATAAATTTAAGAATGAATCTTCTGTTATTAGAGTTATAGAAAAATATAATAAATATGGTGAAAAAGAAGAAAAATTAGAACCTTTAGAATAAATTAAAGCTGATGAATATGAAATGAGAGATTTTGTGTATAATAAATGTGGGGAATTCATGTTAAAATATATAGATCATTTAGCAGAAAAAAGAGCTGCTGGGTATGCTACTATTGCTTTAATTTTATAAAATATAGAATTAAAAGATGAAAATAAATTAACTACTATTGAAAAATAATTAAAGGAAGATTTACTAAAATTGAAATAAATTTAATAAGATTTTGATGATTTTTGCGAATTATGTAAAGAAAGAGCTATTTAAGAATAAAAGAAATTATGTATATAAAAATATATAAATATATAAATATATAAATATATATATATATATATATACATATTTATTATTTTTATTCTATTTAGTTGTTCCTGAATTTGTGAAACAAAATAAAATATTGGAGTAAGCTTGGATTGAAAAATGGGAACTTTTAGTTGGAAATTCTTATGAGTTTTCTGATAGTATCCTTGTCCCAGAAGTAGAATACGAAGACTAATTTGATAAAGTTTTAAAATAATAAAGAAAATATGATATTTAGGAATTAATTAATTAATGTATATATTATTTTAATTTATTATTTTTTATTTTATTAAAATATAGCTAATGAAGAATAAAAAAGATTAATTGGGGGCGATGAACCTATTAGATAAAGAGATCGTAACCTAAAAGATACTAGTTTATTGTAAAAATTAAGTGTATTAACTGATGTAATGCATTAATTACCTGAATAAGATAGAAAGAAATTAGTTTCTACATTTTAAGGTTAAATTGGGGGAAAGCAAAGTCCAGAAGAAAAAAAAATTTTACTTACCGAAATGACTAAAGTATTGTTTTAAATAATTAAAACCCAAAGAAATTTAATGTTGATTTTTGGGCTACTCATTTCAATATAGAACCTTAAAAACTTAGAAATATTTTTAATTATATATCATATGCGATTCCTGACGCTATTAATTAGAAAGAAACTGGAAAAGTTTATCGTTTTATTTATGAATGATTTATATTATTATAAAAATAAAAAATGTTTAGTCTTTTCTTTTTTATTTTTTTATACGAAAAAATAAAAATAAAAAATTAATTTTTTTCTATTAATTTAAAAATAAAAAAAAATTAATTATTTTTGCTTTTTTACTTTCAATAAAATATTTTTAATAAAAATAAAGATTCTATTTTCTATAATTATTTTTAAATTTATAATTTTTCTTTCATGTTTCCCAAGTTGTTTTTATTTAAGTTTATATATAACTAAAATAATTAATTAGAACCTTTTAGATATTCAATAAATTCAAGTACACCTTTAACTCCAATATTATTCCTTAATAAAGAAAGATGTAAAACATTTAAATTTTAACAATTTATAAGTCCTTATCCTAATAAAATAGCACCTTTTTATCCTATATTATTTCGACTTTTTTAATTATATATTGAAATATATAATTATACAAAAAATTAAATTAAAAAAAAAACTTTAAATAAATAGTTAAAGAATTTAGATTATCACAATGTTTGAAAAAATTTTATAAACTAGTAATTCCTTCTATACAAATATCATTATCACTATAATTTATATATATATATATATATTTAAATTTAATTTTATACTTTAATAATAATGATAATTTTTTAATTAAAGCATTTTTTTTTAATCCATTTAATATAAATTCTAGTCCGTTTGATTATATTTAATTCTCATTTAAGTTTAAAATCAAATTCTCTAGTTTTTGACATTCTTATATTCCTGAAGCTATATATTGTGATTATATTTCTCCTATTTACGTACGACTATTTATTTATAAGACTTATAAATTACAAGAAAAAAAAAACAAAAAAAACAAAAAAGATAATAAAATATTTTATTTAAATATACTTTAATTAAAGGTTTAAATATTTCAATTAATTTCCATTATTTTTTAGACCTTAAAATAAATCTTTTAATTATATTTTATTCTAACTTTTTTAATTTAATATATATATAAAAAAAATATTTTAAATTTAAAAAATAAAAAATACAATAAATCAATTGTTAATATTTATAAATTATGTAAATCGGATAAAATTTAAGCCAAATATTTACAAGATTATTCTTAAAGTTAATTTTTTCCCAAATTTAAATTTAAATTTGTTATTTCTTTACAATAATTTAATGCTTTTGATATTTAATTAATAGATTAATCACATATATAATTTCCACTTTTTTTTTATTTTATTAAAATAAAAAAAAAATCATTTATTTTATAAAATAAATTTTTACTATAAATCTAGTTCAAATTTTTATAAATTTTAACAACTTTTTAAACTTTCGGAAAGACTTTTTACACCTTCTAAACCTATTCCATTGTCACTAATTTTATTTTATATATATTTAATTACTTTTATTTAAAAATACTTCAATTATATAAATAAATCTTTTAATTTATTAGTGTTTTTTAATAAATGAGAAATAGGATGAACACATAAATCACCTATATTTTATTTTCTGTATAAAAAAAATATTTTTATTTTTTTTATATAATAATAGCTAATAATTTTATATTTATACCGAACTATTATACTTAATTTATCAATTTATAATTTTTATATTTATTCTGCTAATTTTAATAATGTTTCTTTTTCTGATGTAAGTACAAGTAATTCTTTAATTATTTGATCTTTTAAATCTTCTAAAAGTGATATATCTTCTTATTTTTATATAGAGATCATTTGGAAATAATTAACGTATATGTTATATATATAAAATTAACAAAATATAATAAAAATATAAAAAATTATCTTAAATTTTTATAAAATAAAATTAATAAGTATAAAATAAAAAAAAATAAAGAAAGCTTAAATAAATACATATAAATATATAAAATATATATATATATATATATATATATATTTATATATTTATTTTTATAATAATAATAATAATTTTTTTATATATTATTTTTCAAATTAATTAATAATTATATATATATTTACTTATATTTAAATTTTTAAATTTTTCTTTTATTTTTAAATTTGTATTAATAATTTATATATTATATATAAATATTTATACATTTAAATATTCTTAAAATAAATAAATTAAAGATATTTATAAGGAGAAAAATAAATAAATTTTAAAGAATAAAATATTTTTAAATATTTTAAAAAAACTAATAACAAAATATTTTAATTAATTTAATATAAGATTAAAATAAATAATTTTTTTTTTTTTAAATAAAAAAAATATAAAAAATACGTATAAATATAAAAATATATAAAAAAAATTAAATTAAAAAAAAAAAAAATGGCAAAATCTAAAAGAAGGTAATTTTTATAACTAAAAAAAAATATTAATAAAAGCATATTAACAAATAAATAATATATATAATATAAAAAACAATAGATCTGATTCATCTTCCTCTAATTCATCCTCAGCGTAAAAATAAAATATTTAAAATAATAAAAATTGAAAAAAAAAAAAAAATGAAAAAAGATCATCCAGATCATCTAGTAGTGGTCTATCTTCTTCGTCTTAATCTTCACGTTCATCTTCTTCTTCATCATCTTCTTCAAATTAATCAGTAGAAAATCACCGAACTAAAAAACCGGAAAATAAAAATTAATATACTAAACCTTTAAGTTAAAAAAGCAATCAAAATAACATTAAAAGACGTGATAATTCTTCTTCTTCCCGTTAAAGATAAATTAATAGGAATACAAATAATTATAAAAATAATAGAAATAGAAAATAATCAAGTTCTAGTAGTAGTGGCGCAAAAAGAAGAAATCCGCGAAAAGAAAGATAAAGAAGTAAATAAAGGAAAACTTCAGTGTCTAGATAATAAGATAAACAAAAAAATAATGAGGATAAATATAAAAAAAATAATAATGATATTATATAAGATAAATAATAAAGTAAAAACGATTAAAAATATTAATTTATAATTATTTATATATATAGAAGAAAATATTAAAAAAATAATAGAAAAAAAAGATGAAGATATTAAAAAAGAAGCTACAGTAGAGAAAGAGAAGCATATTATTCTCCAAGAAAAAGAAGATAATATCCATATAAATAAAGATATTAGAGAAGATACTATAGTCCAAGAAGAAGAAGTCCTTCTCCGAGGTATAATTCTAGGAGAAATAGTAGAAATAGAAGTCCTTAGAAACAAAGATCAAGATCTTATAGAAGAGATAAATAATAAGATGTAGATAAAAAATAAGTTGATAAAAAAATGGAAGAAGAAAAATAAATAAAAGATTAAGAAAATAAATAAATTAATGAAGATGTTGTAGTAAAAGGTAGAGGATTTAAAAGAGTTAATTAAGGATTGATGTAAAATATATACATAAATATGCAAATATATATATATATATAAATATATATAAATATATTTAAATATATATATTTAATTAATAATTTTTATATTTATATATATATATAATTTTATTAATTTTTATATATTTATATATTTACTTTTCAAAATATACATAAATTTATTTAATTTTTTTTTTTTTGAATAATTAAAGGGGATGGATTAATGACGATGAAGAGAAAAGCAATTAAATTCTAAAATAGTACTTTTTATTATTTTTTTATAATATTTTATTTTATTATTTTATTTTTATAAGTGATTCTATTAATTTTATCAAAAAAGTTTCTTCAATTGAGGTAATTATTAATTTTTTTATTTTAATATAATTTTTTATTTATTTCTAATAATTTTTCTTTTATTAATTAATTATTTTTATAAATAATTTTTTTTAATATTTTGTGCAATATAATTTTAGAAAATTAATTTTTTTTATATATATATTTTTTTATATATGCATTAAAAATTTATGGTTTGAAAAATTTCTTATTTTGATTAGTTATATTTGTAGATTAAATATATAAAATATTTATTAATTTAAAGAGACCTTAAAGACAGAAGTTTAACAGAAGAACTTAAAATCGTAATTATTTAAATATTAAAAAATAAAATATAATAATTAAATAAAAAAAGAATAAAAAAATTGGGAACATGATCTATTTGAAAGAAATGTAAGATCACCAAGTGATCATGTATATAAAAACATTAAATAATAAATATATAAATTTAAATTTTAATTTTTTTAATTTTAAAAGAAAGATATAAAAACGAGAGGTTCCCCAATTTTTAATTGATGAATATAATATAAAAATAAAAAGTATATATAATTTATTTTTGTTAAAAGAAAATAATTATAAAGATACATATTTTTTATTTTTATATAATATTAGAAATTATATTATTTTTTAAAAAATAAAAAATAAAAAATAAATATATATTTTTTAAAAATTTAATAAAATAATTATATAATTATAAAGAAAACTAAAAATAAATAATAATTTTAATATTTTAAATACAAATTTATATATTAAAATAAATATATTATGTATAAATTTTATATAAATTAATTTTATTTTAAGAATGATAAAGTATTATTAAATATTAGATATATAAAAAATGTATAAAAATAATAAAAGTTTAAAATATTTATATAAATAAAAAAATTTAGATTAAATAAAAAAATATAATGTTTAAATATAAATGGAGAAAAAAAATATTTATAATAATTTAAAGTAAAAATAATTTTAGTAATATAAAAAAATAATTAATTGAATAAATATATTATAATATTATAAAAAATATAATATAAACTTATAAAATAATATTTATTTATATAATAAATTTTTTATATTTAAATATTATTATTATTATTATTATTATTATTATTATTATTATTATTATTATTTTTATTATAATTATTATTACTATTTTTAATATTATATATATTTATTTATAAAATATTTTTTTTTTTTTTTTATTTTTATTTTTTTTATTTACACTTTTAAATGATTATATTTTTTTATTTAGATTTTAATAATTATATTATAATTTTTTTTTATTTCTTTTTAAATTTTTTTTTATATATATTATTAATATTATTTTTTTTTTTATTTTTTATTTTTTATTTTTTATTTTTA